TTTCTCTCTATCAGTTATTGATTATATATTGTATCCATATTACATGGCATAAGGGCAATGCACTAATGGGTTAATTGCTCTGAAACGAAATGAGACAGTCATGTCCTATGAAGTGTGCCTTGATCAGTGGAGTCAGGGGACAATGCACACCCCTTTCATTTTCAAGATCACTTTCTGTCTAACAGTTTAATTATTAGGCTACATCATATCCATATTAGGCTACATGCCATTGCTCCATTTCATACATATTGACAGTTAATTGATAACACAAATTAATCCATAAGTAAGTTGTAAAGTGTGATTTAGGCAGTGCACCGTGGGACAAAGTAAATGTATCACAGCTGAATTGCTTGATTACATGTTTCGTAATCAGTGTGCATCGTTGTCTGTGTACTGGACAACACGATTCTGTCATTAAAAACGCCCCACCTTACTCCCATGAAAAGTTATTAAAGCTAGAAACTTGTTTCGTGATACTAAGTCGCAATTGCAAGATATAAAGTCGCAATTGCGAGATTTAAAGTCAGAATTCTGACTTACTAAGTCGCAATTGCGAGATATAAAGTCGCAATTGCGAGATACAAAGTCAGAATTCTGACTTACTAAGTCGCAATTGCGAGATATAAAGTCAGAATTCTGACTTACTAAGTCGCAATTGCGAGATATAAAGTCGGAATTCTGACTTACAGCTGACAGCACCTATAATATTAGCTATTAACACGATTTTGCACAAATCATGAAATGGTTTGAAGCGCAAAAATAATCGGTGGGCATCGTTGTATGTGTACTGGACAATACGATTCTGTCATTAAAATGACACCGATGCTTAAGTGAAATCCAGGTCCTTTTAATTGAAGATATAAAGTCGCAATTGCGACATATAAAGTCAGAATTCTGACTTACTAAGTCGCAATTGCGAGATATAAAGTCGCAATTGCGAGATTCCGTGGCTTATATTTTTTTTACCACCTGGCGGAAACGGGCTTCCATACTATGATGTAGCACTTCTCTCATAAATATTAACGAGACATCTCCTACCACCCTGCAAAAAGGAAATTTGCCGCCGCCCCGACCCACCCCACGCGCACGAGGCAACATGGCTGCGTCTACCAGCAGAGCTCCGGAGCCTCTGGAGAAACACGCAGCTCGCACACGGTCTTCCAAAGTTTGGGAATACTTCAGTCATGACACGTTTTCTGCATCTCTACTGTAGCTGACGTTAATGACGCTGTTTCAGCCGTTTTATACTTTCTGTTTACTTATTCTGTCATGTAAGAGTGAGACAAATGATCGTTTACGACTACTCTTACACACTGTAGCCTAAATCGTTCCTTACTCACTGAAGTAAGCTTAACTATAAGCTGCCTTTGCTAGTGTTTGTTAAAAACATGTTTCTCTAGTTATGAAATCATTCCATGTTTTAGCATCTATTTCAACATTAAAGTCAAATTCGTGTACTGAAATAATTAAGCAAAAACTATTGCAGTGATTATTAGCTTCAGTCTAAGAAATCCTATTGAATATCTTAAGATTTGCCTTTTTTGTTAATAATGCTCTTATGATTAAGGAATGTTTTAATAAATTGAAATGTTAATGAGAATTTCAGATTTATGTGTGTGTGGGTGAGAGGGTGAATTGTATTAAATAACTAACTTGAAAATAATTGCTTATCAATAAATTTATCATCAGATCAATTGAAAAAATAGTTGTTAGATTAGCCAAATAATCGGGAAAAAAAATAATAATCGCTAGATTAATCATTTAAAGAATAATGGTTTGTGACAGCACTAATCTCAACACCAAAGGGTAAGCGCCTGAAAGCTGTCTGTCATGTTTCTGTTGCCCAGATCTGCTCTTTCAACCTCGTCTCATTAGCCTCCCTTATTAAGATGTTTCTTGCATGTAGTGTACCGCCTTTACCCTTGATATTATATATTATATATATTTCAACCCCTGTATTAGCTTAGTCATTTCATCTTGTCTGTATTAGCTTAGTCATTTCATCTTGTCTGTATTAGCTTAGTCATTTCATCTTGTTTGTTTGACTCATCTGCCGGCCCCTGGAGGATGGGCTCCCCCTTTGGGTCTGGTTCCTCCCAAGGTTTCTTCCTCTTAGGGAGTTTTTCCTTGCCACCGTTGCCTTTGGCTTACTCGTTGGGGGGTCCTTACGAGGCAGAAATGTAAAGCGCATTGAGACAATGTAATGTTGTGATAATGCGCTATATAAATAAAATTGAATTGAATTGAATACTTCTCTCTTAAAAGATGCAATTGACATAATTGGTCCCAGCATCTTCTCACTCATACATCCGGTACTTTTTTTTTTTACTTTTTACTTTTGTAAAAAAGCTAGATTATTAAGGACTTGTCTCACCCCAATAACAGACTGTTCAAACTTCTGCATTCAGGCAGAAGGTTCCAGGTCATTATGGCCAAGACGGAGAGACTCAGGAGGAGTTTCTCTCCCCAGGCGATTCGACTCCTCAATGAAGACATGCCACTCTCCCGGTCATAGTGTTATGGTTATTAGTTCAACCTGACACTGCACACTGCACTTTAACTGGCTATAAGCATTTCTTGCACAGTATTTTATTTCATCCTGTAATTTGTATATTCAAAATGACCAATTCTATCAAATATTGTAGAAAAAATTATTCTGTCTGTTCTACCGTGTGTGTGTATGTGTGTTTGTATACATATGTTAACAGTCTGATGTGTCCCCTTCTGTCAGTACTCCTTAACATTTTATGCTTCTTTGCTATCTGTATTTAAGTGATTTTCTCTTCTTTTATACCCCCTTTTTCAATCTTTATTTAGCATAATAATAATTAGAACTTTATTATTATCTTTTTTTTCCCTTTTTCCTTTCTTTTGGTGATTCTGTATAGCACATTGGTCAACGTTATTTTAAAATGTGCTTTACAAATGAATTTGACAGATTTTTGCCTCATCTAACAGGCAGTTTTGACACACCTATCCAGCCAACTGACTGTCTTCTGACTTCAGGGGAAAGTCATTCAATGAGAATGACTGAGCCACCATGCTGCTCCTTAAGTACCGGAATTGCTTCAGTGAACCTCTCCGGCTTGTTAAACAGGTTTTCATTTTCAGCTGAAGTACATAGAAACAGGAAATTGTAGCAGTATGGCATACTCCTCAAAACACAGTGTGAGGAATAGATAAGGCGTACTGTACCTCTGCGGTCATACTGGCGATGCGGCTGAGCTCAATGGCCCCCGCCAGGACGTTCTTGCGAAGGTCAGGGTTCTTGGGGTCCTTGAGGTTGCTGATGCGACTGCGCACACGGTTCTTATACTTCATGTCTGTGGCTTTAATCTCCTGGTAGATGTGTGTGGACGGGTAGAAAAAAGCTGAGCGCTAAGGGACTCTACACTTAAATAATGGAAAACTCTGCATCACCTTTTCTTAGAAGTAGATTTGCTTTGATTGTACAGATGGCCAGCTGCATAAAATTTAACCTTTGTGTCTAAGTCAACAATGCATCAAGCATTTTATACTGATTTTTAAAAGTATCTGTGCTTTGTAATATCTCTGATGGATCAAAATCAATATTTTGCACTTGCGTAACAAACAATTTTACCAGTAACACTATCACAGTTTTAACTTCCTTCCTCCCATCCACCCAACCATCCTCTACTGCTCATCTGGTTCCATGGTCTGGGGGCATCAGTCTAAGCAAAGATACCCAGCCCTCCTTCTCCTCAGCCACCTCCTGCAGCGGGATACCGAGGCGTTCCCAGGCCAGCCGATAGATATAATCTCATCAGTGAGTCCTGGGTTTGTCCTGGGGTCTCCTCCCAGTTAGACATGCCTGAAGCACCTCCTCAGGAAGGTGTCCAGGAGGCATCCTTGCCAGATGCCTGAACCACCTCAGCTGACTCCTTTCAATGTGGAGGAGCAACGGCTCTACACTGAGTCCCTCCCAAATGACTGAGGTCCTTTACCCTGTGTCTAAGGCTGAGCCCAGACAGCCTGCAGCTTGAATCCACAATCTAGTTCTTTTGGTCACTGCTCAAAACTCGTGATCATGGGTGAGAGTAGAAACATAAATCAACCAGTAAATAGAAAGCTTTGTCTTCCAACTCAGTTCTCTCTTCACCGCCACTGACTGCTACAAAGTCTCCCTGCTAATTCTGCACCGTTCCACCTGTAAATCTCCAGTTCCATGTTTATATTAATAAGACCCTGAGATAGTTAATGGATTGTAACACCCCCCACGTGACCCCCGAGGGGCATGGTCATAGGTTGTAAGCTTTTTTGAAGTCCACAAAACACATGTAGACTGGCTGGGGAAACTCCCATGAACACTCCAAAATCCATGTGAAGGTAAAGAGCTAGTCCAGTGTTGTACCACCAGGATGAAAACCACATTGCTCATCCAAGGTTCAATCAATGGAGGGATTCTCATCTCCAGAACCCTGGCACAGACCTTCCCAGAGAGGATGATGAGTGTGATGCCTCTGAAGCTGGAACACACCTTCTAGTGGCCCTTCCAAAAGATTGGGACCACTACCCCAGTCTGCCAATCCAGAGGCACTGTCCCCAATCTCCATGCAATGTTGAAGAGGGGTGTCAACGAAGACAGAACAAGAATGTCCACAGCCTTCAGGAGCTCAGAGTGAAGCTCATCCACCCATGGAGCCTTACCACTGAGGAATTTGTTTAACTATCTAAGTGACCTCAGCCATAATGATGTATAAGTCCTCTAACTCAACTTCTTCCAAGGATGGTGTGTAAATGGAACTCAGAAAGTCCTCAAAGTGATCCAACTATATCTCCAGTTGGGTCAACAGCACACCATCCCTGCTGTAAACTGCCAGGGCTTCACTCCACTTGGCCTGTCAGCTGCCTCTGGGCTCCCAGAAGCTGACCAAACTCAGAAAGCCTCCTTCTTCAGCCTAAGCTCTCCTTTTACCACTGGTCACCACCACCGGCTTCTGGGGTTGCCACTGTGACAGGCACCAACAAGCTTATGGCCGCAGCCCTGCACAGCCACCTCAGCAAGTGAGGCACAGAATATGGCCCATTCAGGTTCAATGTATCCAGCCTCCCTCAGAATGTAAAAGTAGTACTGCTGGAGATATGAGTTGAAGATCTCCCGGACAGGGACCTATGCCAGATGCTCCCAGCACACTCTCACTATATGTGTGGGTGTACCAGGTCTACTCAGGTTCAGATTTGGAAGGCTGTTCTTCCCAATCACACCCCTTCAGGCTTCACTATCATTACCCACAATAACATTATAGTCCCCCAAGTAGAACTCCGGAGTTCCCAGAGGGGGCACCTTATTGCATTCCACACAAAGTCTCCAAGAATGCTGGATACTCTTAACTATTGCTCATTGCATAGGTACAGACCATTACCAGTAGACCCACACCAGTCCATTGCCTCTCAACCAGGGCAAATCCAGAGTGGAACAGAGACCAGCCCTTCTCTAGAGGTTTGGTTCCAGAGACCATGCTGTCTGTTGAGGTGAGCCTGACTACAGTACTGTATATCTAGTTGGTATCTCTCTACCTCCTGCACCAGCTCAGGCTCCTTTCCCACCAGATACGATACATTCCATGTCCCTATGGGGGTCTTTTCAGCTAGCAAACTTGCCAACTTTACCTGTTCCCATTGGGTTAACAGTCAAAGAGACTTTAATCCTGCCCACTATGGCCTTCAAGGCACTGCTCAGCCCAGCCATGATTGTGCAGTGTGAACTCTATACAGACCACTGGGGATAAAGGAAGAGCCTTCTTGGAGAAACACAGCAGCTCAGCCAAAGGATATGATATTCGATCTCTGCGGCCATGGAGTTGCAGTTGATGCCAAAATCCTTGTAGTCATCTGGGAAGAAAGGGGGCACATTTTGGCTTGTGGCTGTCACGTTCAGCTCCGAACGCTCCTCATGTGTGCCACGCCCCCTCATTACCTCCTGTCGAAACCTGATTTATCTCACCTGTTGCCTGTTACGTTTGCCTAGTCTCATGTATTTAGTCCTAGTCTCAGTCAGTGTACCCCAGATTTGTCATTGTGATGTAGTGTCATGTTTGGTGTCCAGCCTCCATTTCCCTGCCTGTTCGTGGAACAAACCCCGTCTGTCCTTAGTCACGGCTCTGCGTAACTCCTTGACCGCCAGTTCACTTACCGAACGTGACAGTGGCAGCCATACAAGTAACAGATGTGAGTATTTCTGCTCTAAAGAGTGCTGCAATGCACCATCAGAGTATCCTTGTGTGAAGTGAAAAGCACTAAGACAGTATAGAACATCCCTATATTCATGGATGGTACCAGAAAGTGGCTTAAGAAAAGATCAGAGAATAAAGCACTATAAACTGTAACCTCTTTTAACACACAACAGCATGGTTCTGTACCCACCATCTGTGCGCAGCACGGCAGCCAGCATCTCGATGCATTTGTCACGAACCGAGTCCCCGGTCAGCAAGTGAGGGGGCAGTGGGCCACCCGTGGGACTGAAGGAAGGCGACACGGGGCTGGTCGGTGAGGTGGGTGTCTTTGGCGTCTCTGGTTTGACCTTACTGTTACCCCTGTAGACAGAAACCAGAGGGACGCTATCAACCATCTGCTGGATGCTGAGGATGATGGGATGGAATGCAGACAACATCTTATAAACACTGATCATACTCTGACTTAAAGTGAAGACCTTTGCCTATGTAAATGCATCGTGAAGGACTTTCACACATTTCTCGTACAAATCTCTGGTATAGTGCTCCAGTCTTTCTTTACAGCAATATTAAGCTTCTCTTGAAAATGGTTATCTTTGCTTCGTGCTGGTTTTTTTTTTTCATTTTAATTAATTCCAACAATATTCTATTAAGTTGAGTTTGGGGCACTGCACTGCCTACAAACGTTCTGAGTCCATCTACTAACCGGGACTCAAACTGGGAGTCTATGCAATTTATAATGTGCATAATCACTTGGCTATCATTAGACATAGACGCTGACACAAAAGACTACTCAGAGAAGCCCAGAAACACTTCAAGCCAACAGTGCACACATACAACCCATAGAGCCACTGAATCACCTGTTGCTGCCATCAGGTCAAATAAAAAAATTGTAGCAGAAAATATACATAATATCACAGACAGGAATGCCCCTGATATACTTCTAATCTATTAGGATCAAACCGACTATGACTAGATGCTTGAACATAAATATTAACAAATGTTTCAATGTAAAAATAGATCAAGGGGGAACAGAACAGGAGACTACACACAGCTTTATGGATTTCTTATAACCCAGGGGCCACTGAATGTCCTGAGACGGCCAATGGCTACACTCCCTGTATAGGGTGACCCCAAATGACCAGGGAATCAGTCATGGCCCAGTAACCTTGCTCCTCAAATACAGGATGATCAGGCTACACCAGACAAGCGAGGAAGGCCTGGGCTTTGAGGGTAAATGGGGCTAAGCACATACCTGCTGAGGTTTCCAGTCTGGAGACTGATCCCCTGTCCTGGGGCTAATGCCTGTGCAAGGTCACTTGGTATAAGGAGTTCACCATGGTCTTCGAACTGTGAGGAGATGCCGCTATATGACCTACAGCCAGTGTTGGGCATTTCAGGTCCAGAAGCTACAAATCCAGACAAAGATTTTGCTTCTACCAACCAGTTGAGCATAAAGACTCACAGCCATAGAGTACTCACCTGATTGGTAGAAATAAAATCTTGGTCTGGATTTGTAGCGTCTGGACCCAAAATGCCCAACACTACCTACAGCTATTGTAAAATAAAGTTTGTTGCACCCCTGGTATGTCAGTGGTGGTTTCAGTTGTTTTAGTTGGCCTGCATTAACTCCAAAAGCACTACAAAGGAAGCAACTTCTACTACTACATAAAGTATGGTTAGTGAATTACTGTTCATTACAATGTTTCAACAGTGATAATATGGTATCATAGCTGCAAGAACCATTGTCAGAGATGCACAATTGAAATATAACAGATTAATACTTATTTAGTTTTATTGTAAAAGGTCAATTAATGTGAGCTAATTTCCAGGAACTATTGTTTTGGGCTTGTCCAGGCTATGGTCAGGCTGACCCGACTGTGCAGCAGACAGCTGCTGAACTTGTGTCCCTGAACACGGACAGATGTGTCTGTGCCAAAATGTTTTGATTACTACTAGTCTGCATTTTTAAAAACCACGTCTGTCTTGAACAATTTGCTTTTGCCTAATGGACTTGATAGCCATATGTTTGCAATATACTAACTGTGGACTTGATAGCCATATGTTTGCAATATACTAACTGTCTTGTATGTCACTTTAGCCCAAGGCATTTGCTAAATAAAGGAATGTAAATAACTGTATTTGACATGAAACTATGCATAGCAATCTGGTCACAGCACTGCGCTTGGTCTGTATATTTCTTAGCTCTGACAGAGAGGTGAAAACAATGTTAAAACTGGGAGCAGGACAGCTGCAGGCAGTAAGTGGTGCAGAATGTCATGCATGTCTGCAGACGGTTACGCATGCCCTGCGCTGGCATTTACTACAATAAACATTGCGCTCCTAAAATACTGGGGAATGTGCTGGCACACCAAGCAATGCAGGGGGGGTTCAAGGCAGGTGACGGTGGTAGGGTCGCACTGGAGGGGGTAACATACATCTCACTGCAGTCCGTAGATGGCTTCCGCTGTTGGGCTCCGGCAATCGGGGACTTGGGTCCCTGCGAATCCCTCCTAGGAAACACACAAAGACATGTATATTACATAAACACAAATGACACATTCCACATTTTAGTGACATGTGACTATCACATCCTTTTGGGTTAATGTAATGAGGTTACATTTAGAATATACCCAAAAATAATTGTGGAATGCAGTATGGCAAGATGGCAGCTTAAAAGTTTTAATCAGCCTATTAGCGGTGGGTACCAGGTTATAAAAATACATTAGAAATGCCAATTAGGCAGTCAGAGTTAAGGAGTTGTACATTAGAACTGGTCTTCAGATTACACTGGACTGATCATAACAACGCTAAGATGTACACTGACTGATATATTGAGTTTTTATTTGATCTGTCTATGCAGCTTTTTATAAATGTTACTCCCAGTTTTTTCCCTCCTTAATTTAGTCCAGCTGTCATCAAGTCTCAGCTGCTCACGTCCACCAGGGGGCTGGCGGCAGCTGTCGTGTCCCGCCTTCTTTACTCTCAGCCAATAAACTGCTGTGGGAGGGCCAAGAGCCAATTGGACGTGAAGTGTGCCCTTTCAGTGGCAAACAGGAATTCACACCAGACAGACCAATACCACTGTCAGAACTACCAAACCTATTGCAGTGACCCATCACAGCTAACTAACAGTACAGCCCAGATTCTGTATGTAGACCACAGAACTTTCAACATTTCATAACCACCTGAGACACTCAGGGGCTTCAAACTGTGAGCCAGTGTTGGTGAGCCAAGTACAGGTGGAAAGATCAAGTCCAGAAAGTACAAATCCAGACCAAAAAAGATTTTGTTTCAACCAACCAGCTGAATATTCTATGATAGTGACTCTTTATATTCAACTGGCTGGGTGAAACAAAATATTGGTCTGGATTTGTACTTTCTGGACTTGAACTTTCCACCTGTACTGGTAGACATGTGGGGATTCTCATCTCACCTGTCTCCTGTGATCTTCTTCACTGGAGGGCCACTTCCACTCTTTAAACTGGTGGAATCTCTCCTGAGAAAAGAACAAGCATGTAACAGTCTGTTGCAGAAACACAGCAACCATGAAGGCATGGCGAGAGGGCGTCCCTTTGACAGACCGTGGCATGCATTTCTACCTGGTGCTTAAGTCTCAAACATCCACCGCAAACCAAAATAAAACTGTAGACATTTCAATTATTAATAAACCTCCTCAGGGAGTTAATACTGCGTTTATTTTATAATAGAAGTTAAAATAATTTCACAAATACTAGCCCTGAATATTAGAATGCTAGACTGCAATAATCCCTGCACTGGTGTTGGATATATTTCTAAATAATCCCTCGTCTTTGAGGCAGAATTTAATCTATAACATTAAAAAAGTGTACGCATGATGACTAAAAGCATTTGGTAACATTTTATATTAACTGCACCTTCATAATGCCTTTATAATGCATTTATCAACAGCATGTGAGTATATCTCAACATCCTAACATACCTTAACAGTTTTAATATGTTAATACAATTTTTTACAATCACTTTCACACTTGTCTCAATACCAAATCTACTTCACCAAAACTCTTAACATAGTATGCTCTATAAAACACACCTGAGCCCATCAGTTAACCTTTGGTACAAAATGCACTTCGACCACCAAAACACTTCAAACTTCAAAGGTGATTCTTCCTTCCATAACTATAGCATGCAGACTCTCCTATAAGACTACTGTGCAACTCATTGTAGAATTAATTATAAAACACAAATCAAAGCATCGCAAAACACATATGTGTTTCTTTATTCTCTATTTTTGCATATTTTAGTGCTGCATTGCAAAATAAAGGGAAACACACAGGTATACAGCAACAGCAGTGGAAAAACTACATCAGCATTTTACTTATATACAGTACAAGCATATTTCAATGCAAACATGACCATTTTTGTAGAGATGGTAAAGCTTCAAACTAAAAAACTGAACAAACTTTTGCTGAAATCAGAGTAATCTAACTTATTTCAAGCGTACGTATAGTACAATTTCTGTCAAAATGCAGCATATTTCCATCTACAGTGATAAAAATTTTGTTAAGTTTCGAATTACTGTTAACTGTTGTGAACTGAGTATCTAAACATCTGAAAAATTTGCTAAAGTTGTACAGAATTTTTCTGGTGTTTAACACAGAGAGATATTCATGAATCTTGGAAGAAGTATTGAATGCATTTTGTATCAAAGTAATGCAAAAGCATGCACAGTTTAGTACACATAATCTACTGATATGATGCATGTGTTAAGTGTTTTGAGAAAAGGGACAATGTTGAGAAAAGAGACAAGTCTAAAAACAACTGTAAAAAGCTCTAACAAACATCATACAATTATAATGTTTGTTATTATATAAAACCCCATTACCAGAAAAGTTGGGATACTTTCTAAAATGCAATAAAAACAAAAATCTTAGATTCATTAATTCACGTGAACCTTTATTTAACTATCAAAAGTACAAAGAAAAGATTTTCAGAAGTTTCACTGAACAACTTAATTGTATTTTGTAAATATATGCAAAGTTAGAATTTGATGGCTGCAACACACTCAACAAAAGTTGGGACAGAGGTACATTTACCATTGTGTTACATCACCTTTCCTTTTAGTAACACTTTTGGAACTAACAATACCAATTGTAGTAATTTTGCAATAGGGAATTTTGTCCATTCTTTCATGGTGTAAGACTTCAGCTGCTCAACAGTACGTGGTCGCTGCTGTCCAATACATCTTCAATTGGAGATAGATCTGGACGAGCAGCAGGCCAATGAAGCAGGCATACTCTGGGTCTATGAGGCCACTCTGTCGTAGCCCATGCTGAATGTGGTCTGGTATTGTCCTGCTGAAACAAGCACGGACGTTCCAGGAAGAGACGTCGCCTTTATGGCAACATATGTCTCTAAAATTTGGCAAAAGACTGTGTTAAGTGACAATGGTTTTCCAAAGTACTCCCAAGCCCAGGTGGCTGAGTCTTTGATGAATGCTACTTTTATACCCAAACAAGATACATTGCCTGCTTCCAGTTAGCTTGCTTAACATGGAATCTTTCAAACTGGTGTTAGGTATTCTGTGCACTATTCAATATTATTTTTAACTCTGTCCCAACTTTTGTTGAATGTGTTGCAGTCATCACATTCTAACTTTGCATATATTTACAAAATACAATTAAGTTGGTCATTACGACTGTTGGAAATCTTTTCTTTGTACTTTTGTCAGTCAAATTAAGGCCCACTTGAATTAACATATCACAGATTTTAGTTTTTATTGTATTTTAGAAAGTATCCCAACTTTTCTGCAAATGGGGTTTGTATGAATGCATAATGAATGCATTATGAATGTGCAGTTAATGTAAAGCATTACCAAGCATTTTAATTGAACATTCGATATGCCTTTTTTTGACAGACCTGTGTTCTCTGGAACTGTACAAACATTTTTGCTGGTAGATCTCATTACTTAAACATTTGGTGTTTACGTTCATTTACTGAGAAAGTAAGTATGTGTGAGGCAAACGGCGAGATGTCTTAGTGACCGGGCATTTCAGTCAGAACCAGAGCCACATTCACCTCTCAGGTTTAGTGTCAGTCGAATGCCGCTTCACAGGATGTGAAGGCTTGAGGTCCACAGAGTCCTTTCTGCACCATTGGAAACAAGAGTCTAGTAGTGAGTTCCTTGAGAGGCTCATGAGAGTCAGACGAGTGGGAAGGGGTCAAGGAAGCAGGCATTTCTAGTAACCTGGTTATGACACTCAGCATACTCACACTCTTCCTTCTGCATCCCATTCACGGTTGACTAAACAACTTGTTAGTTAAGTAGGCAATACAACATAGATAAGCTGCGTGCGCGCGAACACACACACACACACACAGACCTGTCCTTTTTCCCATCCTGACTTTGCCGTTTAGCAGGTAAAACTTTTGAATCTGTTGACTCTTTTCTGAAACAACATAAAACGCTTTTCTCAGAGGGGTTCCTGTTGGACGGGCTGAACGCAGAAAACTCCGCCTCAGATCAAACTGCGATGTTGCTGCACTGAATTCTTTCAAAGAGGATACCATAAATAATTTATAATGTGTTGCTACCAGCTACGTTAATCACAGACTAAGAATTTTGCTATTGGAATATTTCACCCCTCTCAGAATCATCCTGAGAAAATCATATCATATCATATCTCAGTATTGAGGCTTAAAAAAGGACAAAGCAGCAAATATCACAGTCAAAGTCCAGGCTTGCACACTATCCATGGCTCTGACTCTACCAGCTCACCTTTCCTTTTTGGTTTCCACATTGGACTGTCTTGGAGGTTTATTATCATCTGTCGAGTCCTTTCTGGAAAAGGAGAACATTTTCAGCACTAGCGAGAACCTCCTTACCATGACCAGAAGGAGGAATTTCCAACCAACTGCAAACAATTATGCATAATTAAGCAAGAGGTTTGTGCACTACGAAAACAGCCCATGCATAGATTATGCCATCATACAGTAGCAAACTGCGTTCACCACAAAGCCAATATCAATGCCTGGCCCTAATCAAAAAGGCATCAATCATATTTCTTGTAAGAAAACATACAAATAAATGCCACAAAAACGGCTACAGCCATTATCTTGTAAAAATACCAGACACCAAAACAACAGACCGGGTGAGATACCCCTCAATCTACACTCATGCAAAGGCAAAAGTCTCCAAGCTCAAACTGTTACTTCTGTAGTAGTTTGGCTGCCTGTGCCAGGGTTGGATGTGTTGTTTTAAGAACCTTCTTTATTTCAGACCTTTCTTTTTTTGAATCGTGGGATGGCCGCTTCGGAGACAAACGTTTGGAAAACGGCGTTTCCCTTCTACGATTAAAATCCCAAAGAGAAAAGCTTACAGGGAATAACACAACATTCACCTAAGGGCAGTCAAACAGAAAGCTGGAGCAGCGCCGTGCTACATGCCGGATCTGACCTTTCACTCTTGCCTTCCACTGACGGACGTTTGGGAGGGAGAGAAGGATGAAGGTGCAGGGGGAAAGGAGCAATGGGACCATTTATGTCAGGAGTGCCTTTCCTAAGTGAAACACGCCACAGTATTAAACACATACATCTTGTCCTCAATCTAACCTAAATACACTTTCTGTCAAAAACACCATCACAATAGGATCACTGTTACTGATCATGTTACTATAACACCAGAGTGAACATGTCACCACCAGCCAAATGGGAGTGAACAGGCCAGTCTAGATGGCACGTTTTAGAGGACAAAACAGAACGCTGGGGGATCAGGCTCATACTTGAAAAATAATGACAACAACAATACAGAAATGAGTCTTTTTAAAATAAAGTCTTGCTGAGATGAAAGGACTCAAAATAACATTTGAAATAGCTAAATCATTCAACTAGCATAACAGAAAACTATTCCATTCATTTTTCTTCATTTTGCCAGTAAACAGCGCTGTCACTATCGATTATATCAATGTGCGATGTTAATATCAACGTGGCATTTCATGCACATGCAATCGTCCCATTCCAAGGACCGCGATAGCCTGCTCTTTTGTGCCATTTTTACTTGGTCACAGTAAACCAAACTTAGCAAGTTTTGCAAATTTAGTGATGGCTCCTTTTAAGAATTATCCAGTATAGGTTTAAAATCAGTCTAAAGTTTACAGCTGCTGCTTCTGCATAAGCATTGCATGCGATCTCAAAGACAACCATATCATTTTTGTCCTTTCTTTTGGACTGATTCCTAGACTCTGTGGCATGTTTGTGAGAAATTAAACAAAAAGTGAATGAAAAAGAGGATCGTGAACAAGAACTGGCCACAAAATGACGTTTGTATTCCACTGAATAGAAATATTTTGTATTCCATAGTGATAATATTGAGCAAAAGTGGTGGCTTAATGGTTAAGGAAGTGCACTTGTAATTGAAAGATTGCTGGTTCGAATCCCCGACCAGCAAGGCACCACTGAGGTACCCTGAGCAAGGTACTGCCCCCAAGCACTGCTCCCCGGGCGCTGAATTAGCGGCCCCTTGCTATGTCACATATGGGTTAAATGCAGAGGACACATTTTGTTGTGGTGTGTCAACAATGACCAATGATCACCTAAATTATTTATCATATGTAAAATGATGAGGCTAAGCGACAGGGGAACCTTCGTTTTAGCAGTGATTAATCTGACATACAGCAATCATGATAAGCAAAATGATTTAACTCAAAGTGATGACAAAGACAGGCTATATAATACATAACCACAGCTAACCATTAATGGGTGAGTCTGTCAAACTGAATGTCTCATATTAATATGCGTTTGCATGGCTGTCTTGCAGTGGAGATATTCTGTTTTGCAATACTAACAGACGACCGCATTCTCATTCACTTTTAATGTGAAGCGCTTCTGCATAACTGATGGTTTAGTACTTTAATTGCATCCTCATCCGCTAGGCGCCCTTTTACCTTCCGCCACATTGGCGAGTAATCGAGAAGGAATGTTAAAAAACCTTGACTAAAATTATCAAGTAATCAAGTTTAGTCAAATAATCATGATTGCTCCACCAGTAAACGAATCGATTCCTGCTTACGAAAAACAAAGACCCAAGGGATCCGCTTATGAAAAGTTTCCAGCCCAAAGAATTACTAATCGTGTGTATGACAGCCTGGAAAAAATTATATAGATTCTTGTATAGGACACAACATTACAACTAATCAAGAACTATAGAATTAACAGTAAAAGAACGATATCAACCAATTGTGATATCTTGGAGGCACAATCCAGCAATTCGAAAAGCTGCAGCAAATTATGAAAGACATTGACCGAAAGTGCCGAAAACTAACTGAAAGTGTAAATAGACACAAAAAAATATAATAGATAAAATCAATGACTGATCCTTAAAGAAGCACACAGCATAGAAACCTATCGTTTTTCAGCCCAGTTGTTCTAATCTACATCTTTATTCACAAAACCAGAGAAATGAGGCAGCTAAGCATCAACATTATATCTCACCGGTCTGAACAAACTCGCTCACGCCCATGGAGACGTGTGCACTCTGAAGTACAGGTTAGCCCTGCCTGACACCCAGCCTTGCCTACAAATTTGATCTTAGATTGCCAATAAATTTTCTCAACCCATAGCATCCTGCAATAAAAATGATCCCAGTGCCATGACAAATCATCATGCATAAGGGGCACAATGGACATACATGTTAAAATAAACATTACTACACTAATAGAAGAGTACTTTACGTGGCTCAGTAACTGTAATATTTGGGTGGCAGCTGGAGCATTAGGGCTATGAGGGGGGATGCTCACTTTTGAGGGATTTCCCTAGTTAATTTGTAGTTATTTAATTATGTTCATTTAGTTCATTAATTTATAGCTTTCATACTTCTTATTTTTATATTTCTTTCTGTCCTTGCTACTCGCTCATCATGTTCTTTGTCTATCTCATACGACTTACTCTCACCAAGGCCGTCTGACCCCCCGGCTCCAGGAGTCTGTACAAAGACCATAGATAAAGGGCCTGTTTCCCTCAGTGGGGGCAGAGTCAGACACAAACAGACACTGAACCGGCCGTGTCAAACATCTTTCTGTAACATCTTCATTCTGTCTTAATAAACTGCTTAAGCTTAAGGAACCTGCCTCATCATTCAGATGGAAGAACCTGAGGTTTCACTGAAGAAATCTATCACTTTGGGGGAGTGAGATTGTAGCCAAGTTAAAGTGGAGGTTGGTTTGTTGGGTACAAATATCAACAAGTGTGAAGTACGGGCTACAGGTAGAACAGTACCAAGCCTTTAGTTTAAGTGAGTTATCTTCTATTAAAACAACCCCTCAAGCACTACAATTCCCATTGCGGCCCCATGACTGCCAGGGGTGCATTTCAGGCTTGATAGAGCATCGTTAGTGCATAAGAGGACTTGCAGTTTGTCATGCATTGTAACTTCCTAAAATAAGGTTGATGGATTATGCATGATGACATTACAGCCAAGCAGCACGCTGAGTGACATCACGGGGCAGACAGCAAGGCCGAACCCTGACCTCTCTTTCTTCGCTTCTATGGCTGGGGGCTTGGAAGGCAGTATGGAAAGGGGATTAACAGCAGGAGTAGAAAGAGCGCCAAGATCAGGCTCATCTCTCCTGAATTAAAAGACAACAGTCTGTGAAAAACCCTACATTAGAATGACAAGTGTCAACCATTTAATACCTAGTAACACTAAAGGAACCTCACCTCTCCTGCTTTTTCTGGGGTTCGTCTGTACGCTTGTCTTTCTTGACGACTTCCCCTGAGTGCTTCTCCTTTCTGTGTTCAAATGCATGCTTCTTCTCAGAGTTTAAGTTTGCTTTCGCCTCTACCAAACGCTTCCTGTGACTTACAAACAAATGGGACTTGACAAGCCATATCCCCAATGCAGCCTTTCACGGTGGCAGCGAACTGATGTCACAGTCCTGGAATTCCTATGGTTCATCAACTTTCACTTTCTGTTTGTGCATGTTTACAACAGCCATCCATCCCAGCCATCTTCTAACCATTTATCCTGGTCGAGGTCGCGGGCAACCTGGAGCCTATCCCAGGTAGCATAGGACACAAGGCTGGGATATACCCAGACAGGATGCCAATATGTTTACAACATGCATTATATAAATGTACTTGTACTTCTTGACTTGTTCTGAGCCTGACTAGTTTCCTACCTCGATTCCGTTACAGATGAAGGCCTCCCTTCTTGCCCCTCATTGTCACCTGCCGTGGTTTTTTTGGCGTCTGTCCTGTTGTTCTTTTCCTTTGGCTTCTCCGCTGCCTGAGACTGAGCCGTTTCTAAAAGGTAAATGGCATTCCAGAGTCAGCATGACTCAAAGCAAGTCCACGTCTTACTTCAGCTGTGACAGGCCAGGAATAAAGTCACAATCAAGTTAGGAAAGATCACAAAATGGAGTTTATTCTAGAACGAGGTAATATAATCAGCTGAGGTATTACCCAGAAGTCTTTTCCAGTTCTTGATAAGAATTTTCGCCAGGGTGACAACCTCCTCATCTGTGCAGTGCTTCCTAATGCCATTCACAGACATGCCAATCCGTGTGTCCTGGACCAGAACCAGACAAGGACAGCAGAGTTTGTGGGGTACTTTTAAAAAGTTATATATTTACAGATATATGAAATGTGCTCTTCCCATTCTATTCAGTCCCCAATACGTTTTTTCGGGACAATAAGGGGCAACAAAGGGAACAAGCCGATCAAATTATATATGGTTTATGGTTGTAAAATGAACATGCATAGACACAGAGGCAAAGTTTTACTTCTCTGGTGTTGCTATAGCAGAGCAATCAGGAACACGTTCCCCACAGAGAAATTTAAACACATGTATCATTTAAAACATTCAGGCATAAAAGAATTTACTGATAGTACTGACCTGGATAAACAGGCTTCATAAATGGTAAAAGAGAAATATACAGAACTTCCGGTAGGTTTAGAAGTTACATACTAGCTTGTTTAAAATAAATAAATGAATAAATAATAATAAAATAAAAATGTAATAAAAAACAATAAAATATTAACTGCAAAAACAATGAAATCCATGATAGAACAGCTTGTACAAATCACAAAACAAAGATTTTGTAAAAAAGAAAAAAAATAAATAAACAAACACATTATGAAATACTACCCAAACTAAATATAAATGAGAAAATTAGATTTACAAAAATACAGCCAGACACATGCCTGCCCCTGGGCGTTGCCAAGGTGCCCTGTGAGGGGAACTTTACCTGAAGCAGCTTCAGTGTCATGTTGAAGCCCTTCAGTTCCTTGAGCAGGTCCAGAGCGCCCTCCTGCAGAGACAAACACCCAGAGACGTACTGTAAGCATGGTGCATGCAGAGGATAGCAGAGAGGGGGAAACTCATACTGCTGCAGCACGGATTTACTTACTTACCTTGTAATTGTGCACACCACCTGTTTACATGGCTGAATCTTGGACATAAGTACCCCACATGACAACAGCAATTACTGTACTTCTCGTCCAATTCGCTGTAAGTCTAGTTTATAAAACACAATTTTCTTCTGTGAAATATACATAACACGTGAAGAGCTCCTCAGGTTGTAAAGAATTTATTATTAATGTAGGTCTACTGCATGGAAATGTTTCATACAATATAACACCAACAGGCCTGCTATTAAATGGCAGTACTGTACGGCAGGCAACCTTTCACAAAAGAGGAATATGATTTCCGAATGGCAGCAACTGTGTAACTTCCTGTTAGATTCAAAAAGTTTAAATTTAAAGCAAACTGGAATAAATTTATAAAATGTTGCTTGTTATTGTTACTGTTGATTAATAAATACTTAAAACGTTAAGTATGTGAAATATAATCTACAAAATACAAACAGAAAACATTTTAACTTTAACGTGTCCCAAACCGACCATGAATGAAAGTGCGATAGAGGTACCATGCCATGACTGTCATTTTAATGCAAGAAAAAAGTCCTTGTGTACTGTACGAAAAATGAAAGGTCAAACAACTATAGCGGGCAATTATTTAATTTCACACTCCTGTTATGGAAAAAATAGAGAAAAAATAAAAACGTAGTTACTGTAAAATGTTTAACACTACGGAAACAACATGCGGAGTACTCGGCTGGTAGTTTAAATTTACTTTCAATGAGCCGTAAAGGTTCCTGCGTAAATTATGTGCATTACATACATTCTTTGCAAAAATAAATGATAATTAAAAAAAATATTTGGCCCTCGTCTCTAGCTTACTTTGTGGATAAATACACGCAATACTAACTGCGTGACAACGACCTCGTCGCTATTTACTTTGCAACGCCAAGCTCGATCACCCACGGGAAAAACGAAACCATTACCAACCACACGGTTTTCCAAACAAAACATTCGATATATTTATTCTTTCATCGAGTTTTTTTTCGTGCAGTGTCAACTTTACAAGCAGTAGCTGCGATTAGCTTGTATGCAAGCAGATCTAATACTGCACAACATAACGCCGAACACCTGTCCAGCATGCAGCTGCATTCGGCAGAACCGGCCTACAAATTTCAAATTAAACTTTCACTTTGAATAAATGAACCAACAAACGCGAATGCCATTTCTCATCCCCAGTGCAAACTGTGTTGTTTACAAATATTTAGTGTGTTATTTCAAACTGTACGTCACCTAATATACACACAGGACAAAAAAAAACAAAACCCCGGAGAGGTTAAGCTGGCGGTGCACTTCTGTCAAAATAAATTTCTCACCGTGTTATTTCTAGACACCATCTTGTCCAGTTTTTTTGCAATGCGGATCAGGTCCTCCTCTCGCGTCATAATGATATCTGTGACATTCAGTAAACCTCGAGGTCCCTAATTTGGATTCGTGAACAGTTCAATCAAAAAAAAGTACAAATTTATATAAAGTTTTTGTTCCCTCTTAAACTAAGGCGTCCGCACTGTCAGTCGGGGCGGCCGGGGAGGCGTGTCCTCAGCTGCCGCGGGTTAAAGGGATCCTTTCTCCATCTGGTGAAGCCCGCGACACATGCGGCACCTAAATATAGCCGCACTGTAGCACAGGATTGAAAAATAAATCCGAATCGTTAGAAGCTGAGCTATACACACTGTTTGCTCATAAACCCATTGCGCCTACATTAAATGCGCTTCCGGAGCGCCATGCTGCATGTGCCTTATCTAACAGCCATCAGAGTGCGCCTCTACTGTAATGTACATAGTATGGCCACCCCTTTCAGGTGATCATGAGGCCAGGCCTTTCTCCAAAGCTTCATCTGAAAGATGAAGTGCTCCTGCGACAGAGGGGCATACAGTGACATGCAACTCCTGCGACAGAGGGGCATACACTGACATATACAGCTCCTGTGACAGAGGGGCATACAGTGACATACNGACAGAGGGGCATACAGTGACATGCAACTCCTGCGACAGAGGGGCATACACTGACATATACAGCTCCTGTGACAGAGGGGCATACAGTGACATACAGCTCCTGCGACAGAGGGGCATACAGTGACATACAGTATACAGCTCCTGTGACAGAGGGGCATACAGTGACATGCAGCTCCTGCGACAGAGGGGCATACAGTGGCATGCAGCTCCTGCGACAGAGGGGCATACAGTGACATGCAGCTCCTGCGACAGAGGGGCATACAGTGACATGCAGCACCTACTCACCTGGAGCGCTTGGTCCCCTGCGCCTTGCCCGCTGCGGTAGGACTGTGGGGGTGACGGCGGCTCTCACTTTGGCAGCAGTGATAGGTGAGTCTTTGTAGGTAGGCCTATATAAACACAGAAACAAAGCTTTTAATAAAGCAAAATGTGTCCAGATTTTAATGACGTTTAATTTTCGGCCCATCTTCAGAGATGTTTTTTTTCTGCTATTGCATTATATTAGTACAGTAATAAAAAATATAGAATAATAATTCTATAGTCATATATCTGGTTTATCATGTCAACCAGGTGCATCCACATTTTCTTAAATTGCAGAGTAAGTTTGCCTATGATGGCTTGCTGATAATGTGTTGATCCTGAAAAATGTTTTGTAATTTCAGGTGACGATAGTACCACCCAACTCAACACTGGATCCACCACTGACAACATCTCATCCAGGGTATATCGACCCCCTTGTGCCGCTCCATATTTTATTTTTTCTTTGGGGATCGCTTTTGAATATTATACAGTAGGTACAAACGGCGTTGCTGATACTCTAGTCACAATCTGGAAACTTACTTTAGTATTCGACAGACTCACCAGCAGGGGGTGCTAAAGGTCTAACAAACGTGCCTGTCACCACGTCACAGTTTTAGGAAGCGACCCAAGGAGAATGGAATGGGAAAGAAAATATTCTCAGCTTTTTACGTGTCTGTGGGAATTGTTTCTGGAAATGAATTACTTCAAATAGTAAGTGAATGTGTATATATAAACACAATGAAAAGATGTAAACATGCAATTATATGGGTTTCTCTCCATTGTGGCCAACACTTGGTCAGCTTGCTGTGTGTAAGCTTTGACCATAGCATACACAGGCTTGGTACTTTTTTAGAATCTTGCATTATTTTGCATTGTGCCCTTGGTAGACTTTCCTGCTTTAATAGGTCGCAATAACGTTATTCTTCACTCTCCACACAGCAATTGTAGCTGGAAGCTAAGGAGTGTATGGGTTAGAAGGTAAAATGAGCCTTTTTTTCAGTTAGACACTTTTAAAGGATTTTCTTGTAGGTTTCACACATACATCAATGGAGTTATCTTTACCGTAACTAACGGCTGTGATGTTGCATTTCAAAATATGTGCTACTATCAAATTTGGTATTTTTTCCCGAACAATTAATAATCCTGCATGACACCTTTAATACAGTCTGTAGGGACTTTGATAGAAATTAGGAACAGGAATATCTGAAGCAGTACATTTTTTCTTTCCTCTTAGGAAATGCTACACAAATTTGGTATTCCATCCTAAATTTGGAAAACAAATCTTAATTTTTTTGAGGGGGGAGTTTTACTTCATGAGTAAAACTAGAGTAGTGTGTTTGATAATGATTTTGTAAGGGAAGGCAGGAGAGAATATGGCACAGCGAAGGAATAGTATGTAGGAGGTACAGCATAGTAAAAGGACCCTTGAACTAAAGTTATCAGGGAAACGGGAGAATTGCAGGAAAAAAAAAAAACATGTGGAGTACGGCAAAGGAGCAAAACACAGGTAGAACTTAGTGGTGCAAATTCAGGACAGGGGGCATTGGGCAGGAAAAAAAAAAACTTAGTGTAAATTTTTAGAAAACAGGAGGACAGGTGCATTTTGCAAGAATGGTGAGCTGCCTCTGTCAGCAGATTTTTAACCAGGAGTTCAGGAGATCATGCACGGCTTGACAGAGAGGTGAGCTTCCATGGCTACAGGAGATCGTCCAAGTGTCGCTTAATTGGGAGGCGAGTTTCCATGGAAAGCAGGTGAGCAGGCTGCTGCACTGAAGTGTGGTGTGATGCCCATACCAAACACTCAGCCTGACTGGGCAGGCCGCTCACATGCTCAGCCCAACACAAAAATGTCCCTCCAGCCTCCTCCATGCACAACAATCGATTACTCAACATTAAGTTGACAACTGTGGCCATTTTTCTCTCTCTTCTTTTCCTCAAAGTAAGCCTCAGAAATGGGCCAGTTTGCCTTTAGGTAAGACCGCTAGCTGGCCTGTGGAACTAAACAAATTAAATGAATTCCTCGACCTGGCAGCCTTGCTCATCTCTCTGCACCTCAGCCAGCTCTCTTGTCCATCCCTTCCAAAAAGCCCTACTTATTAGGCCAACACATAAGGTTCTCAAACTTATGCCAGCTTGCCTTTCTCAAAATGAATAATTCAGCTGGCCTGGACAGTTGGACACTAAAAGTGGTGAGCATTACCAAAAAATGACTTCTGCTTTCCTAAATGAGCTGACTGGGTTGTTTCTCTGCCTAATCCATAGGAACTTCAACCACCCTTTCTGGATGTAAACACTACAGAAACGACATGCCTGGTACTCGGTTGGTAGTCAGCCTCTACGTCGATCTAAATTGAATGCATACATAGATATTCCTGCATTTATAAAATGCTGAATAAGACAGGGTTCCTAGTTTGGGAAGCTGGACTATCATTACCCACTTGGGGTAGGCCACATCAAGTCCCGTTTTTGTGCTACTCCAAACAGTACCAGACAGATCTAAGTCATGCCCTTGTCTTCGGTTTAGCCATTGGAAACCACAAAAACCCACTGAAGTACCATACTGAGAATGACCTTCTTCGGGACATCTAAGAGCTGCCTAAATCCTACCCCATCAATGTTAGACTTTCCCAGCATGTTATACCTTGACTGTGAGGCTTTCACCAGACCAGGCTAAGACAGGCACTGCCTGGGTAATTATGGGGTCCTTATAAATGACATTACACGGGATAATTAATGACCTCATTCCACTTTCATTTCTGGGGGCTTGCTGAGATCATCTCAAATGAAACAGCCAGAGACCCGAGAAGAGCTTCAGATGGTTCCGCTGGTGGCTCAGTGTTTATCGCTTCTACACCCTGGAGCTAATGATGACAGAAATGAGGCTTGGCTACCTGCAGCAGCTGTCTGTTAACCTTGTGCAGTCCCTTACCCATGTCTGTCTGCCCAGCCTCCATCAGCAGAGCTCAGTTATCTGGGTGCCGGTGGTGTTCATTTCAGTGATTTGCCGTTACAGTGCCATGCTGCCTCGGTGGCCTCGCCACAATCAACTGCTCCTCAGCCTCGTCTCAGTCTCCTCTGCTGCATGGAAGGAAGAACTAGAGACTCGTCTTCTTGGGAGGCAGGGAAAGATATGCCTTCTTCTTCTGCTCTTAATTTTTTGCTCTTTTGATGCACATGTTTGCACCACTCTCCCCCCCAAAGCTCCAGCCACAATGAGCTATTCCATTATGACCAGCCCAAATGGACTCAGCCACAGACCATATCCGAAGGGGGAAAAAGAAACATACAGAAAGCTAAGGAACTGCTCAATAATGTCATTCTATAGGACGTACAGTACAGCTTGTTCCTGTAGGGCAGCTTTATGAAAAAAAAATACTAACTGAAAATGAGCATCTACGGCTTTATTACTGCTTACCTAAAAGAGTTAATTACATATTGGCACAAACGCATGTGGAATCATTTCTGTAGCATGTCTCAGTGGTTTTTCGCAAACTGCCTATTTTATCTTTTGCATTCACTTGATTTGCGTACTCGCCCCTGGTCCACATTCTGACCACTGCTGGACGTTTAGTATAGAAGCAGCCTCATTGACTGTTGACAAGACCTTCCTGGTGTGGTAGGAAAATAAAATATCCCTAACGGTTCTCAACTTTGTTCCCAAACTGGCCGGACGCCAACGGAGGAGCGGCTTTCTGAGAACTATATGTGTCATTTTTGTGTGGCCAGTTACCAGGGCTCACGGTCCCTCCTGCTATGTGAAATTTGCCCTAAAAACATCTTAACTCTTTACTGTATGAGGCCTCTGTTTGAGACAGCTCACCAAACCGCTGCACAATGAGACAGCTCAGGACTTACTCTCCACATGGTAACACTGCACATCTGTTGGGTTACATCCCTACTGCATATGGCGGTGGCTCACATTGGTGTTTAAGTGAGAGGTCTCCGTAGGGACTTCTGGGGTGAGAGAAGCAGCCCCCCAGGCCTGTCCTGTGGTGTCAAGGAGGTTCCTGTGAGGCCAACCACTCCCTGGGAGCCCTGGACGCAGACCCAACGGTGTTACTGTGCAAATCCCTGCTTGCACTCATTCCTTAATCAGTAAGCCTGTAGCAAAGCAGCCCTGATCCCTTCAAGCAGACTTTGCATGCCTTACTTTGCCATTTCTAAGCTTGACCGGCCCCTCTGCCAGCATTAACTCTCCAGCGCAGATTCCCCATTTCAGCTTGAACTCAGGCATAGTGAGATAAAAGTGAAGAGTAGCATTCTGTAGCAAGAAATCTCATTTAATGTGCTAATGCTGCCTTGTCTGTGTGCACATACCTACATCCACTGGACACATATGGTGCCCATTCAATACAAGCATTCACTTAAAAAATAAAAATTATATATATATATATAGAATTGCAGTGCAATTAGATTAACTAGAAATGTAGTGCCAGAATATTGTTGCTGTAAAGATTAGACTCGGATGACTTTCTTTCCACACTGACATTTGTGGAGTCTGACATTCTTTAAAGTGGAGGATAGACACTCGAACCATCACTGTTATAAAATGGCTTAACTGGCAGCCTGGGCTAAGCGACATCTGT